CGTGGCAATCCCTTCATGAGACGAAATGAACAGTGGTTGCTGTTGGCATCTACAATTAACTCATCGGTCTACTTCCCAAATGTGTCTTTGTAACTCTACAGTTCAACCTATTTCCATCCTCTCGCTAACGCACTTCGACCTACTTCCCTCCACTCACTAATTTCTAACGGTTTCAACAAATTTTAAATAATTCTATACTACCTACCTTCTCACTTACTAACCACCTCGCTCTCCTTTTCTCTCCATTAATTTTCCTGTACAAACTCCTTCCGAAAACCCAGGTTCTCAATCTCGGATTCTACGCACAACATTGGTCTGCCACGTCCTACCCCAACCGACACTACTAACTGGACACTCGACACAACTAGCGTCCCCTTCCGGCTAAATAACCTGTGCGGCGCCTCAGCTCGTCTTTTTTTTTATTGAACTGAAGCTTTTGTTGGAGAATAAAGTGCTGACACTCTTCGATGTTTGTCGCTGCTGCAGTCAAAGACCACGTGAGGACCTAATATCTGACTCTCATAGAAAGCGAATATGGTGCGAGTTTTTGACTTTTGAGTTGTAGCAACGGAATGCTCAGCAATCTTTTCTGCTGAAGTGCAACTTCTGTCTAAATTAAAATGCACTTTTGTTTTATTTTCAGGCCGGCTTCTTATTGCTAAAAATTAATCTCAATATCTCGGACTTGCTAATTCTTGTTGTACTAGCGGTTGGCAAATTTTTCTGGCTTATGACTTATTCCTGGCGTGGTGGCGATATCTTGTGCAGGCTGTTCAATTTCCTATCAATGATCGCCCTCTATATTAGCTCAAATATTGTTGTTTGCATTGCATTCGATCGCTTTCGCAATGTACTTGGAGCTGCTCAGATTAAACGAAGCAGATCGCTGGTACGAGTTTCCAAATTAAAAAAAAAAAAAAAAAAACAATGAAAAACGCACAATTCAAATCGCGTTTACCTAGCAAATTGGGTTTACGAGCAAGTTCTACAATACTAACGCAGAAAAGTAAGATGAGAAAGGATAGGGGGAAGCCAGAGAGGGGGAGGAGAAAGAGGGAAAGAAGGGAAAATGAGGAACATGTGAACTAGGGGGGACGAAGCGAGTAGATAAACCAGCTTTTTTCAAAATTCACGCATTTTTTACTGCATTCATATTTATTACATCATCCGATCTCTCTTGCCAGCTCACACCAAGTACAATGAAGAACCTTGACTCCTTCCTGCCAACCTGTGAAGAGGGTACTGAATTGACAGTACGAACGGTAGGCACTACCTAAGTCGTACAGCTCAGGGCCTGACTAAATTCTTCGCCTATCTGGAAGAATTCATTAATTCTGTTAACTTACTATGACAGTCAAATAGACAGATTCGAGTTTAATATGCCGAGTTTAATAAAGTCAAAATATCCTCGCTCTGAAATATTGAGAATTGGTACTAATGCATGCCAGGGGATCAAACCCGCCATCAGCTTTTTTATAAATACTGCTTGTAACGAACCCGGAGGCGGGTTTGATTAGTACCAATTTTCTTTCATCAAAAGGAATGTACGAATCGTAGAGAGACTGACTGTTCTGTTGGAGGAATTGAACTTCCGATCTGCTGC